CCCTGCTCTGTGCGTGACAGGGGGGAGCTCCCCAACCCCCTGATCAACCCTGCTCCGTGCGTGACAGGGTAAGGAGCCCCAACCCCCCTGATGGGCCCTGCTCTGTGTGTGACGGGGGCAGCGCCCCAACCTGATGATGGGCCCTGCTCTGTGTGTGACGGGGGCAGCGCCCCAACCCCCTGATTGGCCCTGCTCTGTGCGTGACAGGGGGTGGCGCAACCTCCCCCTCTACCCTGAGCGTGACTGGGGGTGGCATCACAACCTCCCGATCCGCCCTGCTCTGTGCATGACAGGGGGCGGTGCCCCAACTCCCCAATCAGCCCTGCTCTGAGCCCGACCAGGGGCTGCACCTAGGGTTGGGCCTGCCCTCTGCCACCTGGGAGCAGGCCTAAGCCAGCAGGTTGTTATCTCCCGAGGGGTCCCAGACTGCGAGAGGGCACAGGCCGGGCTGAGGGACCCCCCCTTCCCCCCGAGTGCACAAATTTTTGTGCACCGGGCCTCTAGTCTATATATAAAAGCCTAAGTGACCGTTATGACCAGATGACCAGCCAGTAGCTATGACACGCACTGACCACCAGGGGGCAAACGCTCAATGCAGGAGCTGCCCCCTTGGTGGTCAGTGCGCTCCCACAGCCAACCTCCCGCAGTCCCTCCCCCTGGCCAGCCGGCCCTGATCAGCCCCGATCACTGGCCAGGCCAAGGGACCCTACCCATGCACGAATTCATGCACCAGGTCTCTAGTTAATTATAAGCAAAAAATGGAAACAATCCAAATGTCCAATAGTTAAAATATGATATAACCATAAAATGAAATATTATTTGGAGTAAAAAGGAATGAAGAACTGATTAATTCTATAACATAGATCAACCTTGAAAATGTGTTAATTGCTCTGGCTGGTGTAGCTCAGTGGTTGGAACACAGGTCCATGCACTGAAGGGTCTCGAGTTCAATTCCCAGTCAAGGGCACATACCTGGGTTGCAAGTTCGGTCCCTGGCCCCAGTCAGGTCCAGGGTGTGTGTGGGAGGCAACCAATCGATGTGTCTCTCTCACATAGATGTTTCTCTCTCTCTCTCTCTCTCTCTCTCTCTCTCACCCTCCCTTCCACTCTCTCTAAAATCAATGGAAAAAATATATCCTCAGGTGAGGATTAACAACAAACAAACACACAAACAGGGAGTATTGAACACACTGCTTCAAAACTTTTCTTTACTAATATATACAGGCTTTCCAAATTAGCACATATATTTATCTCATTTTTCATTTAATAGTTCCATCATATTGCATCTTATAGCTAAACTATAATTTAACTAGTCCTAACTAATGAACACTTTTGCTTCCGTTTCTTACCATTATAAACAATGCTGCAATAAGCAACCTTAATTATATATCCTATAAATCTTTTGTGAGTCTACTATATGGTTAATTTCTAGCAATGGGATGGCTCCACCAAATGGTAAAATTATAACCCCCCTTCATTTATTTAACTAATTCTTAAGCAACTATCAAAACTTGGCAGGAATTTTCAGATTTCCCATATATTTCCCCAGGTATTCACAGTCGTAAAATTTGAGTTACATTTTAAAGTTATATTTTCATTAACATTATAAAAACACTAGATTTTAAGTTCTGTTTGTATGAAAGAGAGGAACAATGCATGACGTTGGTTAGAACCCAGAAAATTCATAGTTAATTCCATTTTTAGATTCATCCAGAGTGAATTTTGCTTTTAGCCCTAAATGCTTGGTTGGATGCATTCTTTCATCTAAGTGGTTTTTCATCTTTGTTTCTCCAGTCAAGTCCCCTTTAAAATTACATTTTATTTTACATCTTCCACATCAGTCTTATAAATTCTTTTAGTCTCTCTCGCTCCCAGCCCTCCCCCACCAAAATCACACTTTGTATTTCCAATTACCTGACTCTGTGGAGTGGATGTAGAATTGCCAGTTGAAGGTCTCACTTTTGAAGTTTTACTTAAGGCTTTCTTCTGCTGTAAAGCCATGGTATACTTGCTCACAGCATTCCGATATTCCTTATCATGAAAGAGAGAATCTGCATGATACACCAAAAGCTGGTACTTCTGAGATGGGGAGAATAACTCACTAGAAAACAAAGAAAGGATACCCCCTACATGGGTTGTTTTTGAAATGTTAGAAAGTACATGCCTGCCCTTATTGTCCAAGCCTAGCACACAGCCTTATGTAATGACAGTTTCCAAAAAAATAAATGTGCCTTAAGTGCTAGTTCCTAAAATTAGAGGGATGAGGCGTACTCTATGCTAATATGGTCAACACAACTAGAAAATTGCCTTAAATATTTCCTTTACTTACTATAAAAGCAATGATATCTTTAAATCTCTTTGTATAACTCTACAAAGGTGTACAAAGAGAAATGTAATATATCTTTTCCTCCTCTCCTTTAACCCAAGACTTAATTTAACAGTTTGATATCCATTCTCTCTTATAGTAACATCAATTTTTAGGATAAGACAAAGAAGAACAATCACAATGATTTAAATAGTATTACCACAGAAGGGTTGAAAACTTAGAAGAGAAAGTTCATCAGTTGAATCCTTTTTAGGAAAGTACTGAAAAGAGGTTTGTAGGGAACTGAAAACTCTTCAAATCCTGAAGAAAATAGAAATACTGAAATATGGAAATAGAAGAGGATAAGCTAATGGAATAGAGTGGGATAGAAAGAGGATTAGTCTTCTTTTTTTTTAAAGTATATTTTATTGATTTTTTACAGAGGAAGGGAGAGGGAGAGTTAGAAACATCGATGAGAGAGAAACATCGATCAGCTGCCTCCTGCACACCCCCTACTGGGAATGTGCCTACAACCAAGGCACATGCCCTTGACTGGAATCGAACCTGGGACCTTTCAGTCCGCAGGCCAACGCTCTATCCACTGAGCCAAACCAGTCAGGGCGGATTAGTCTTATTTGATAAAGGTTTTTTATTTTATTTTATACACAAAAGTAAACTTTATAAGCACTTGGAGAATTTTTATCTTAAGTCTCAGGGGCTTAAGGACAGTGTATTTAATGAGAAATAAGATTGGATAGAAAATGTTACTATACTCAGGAAGCATTTAGATACTTATGTATATTTATATATTATATATTATAACATACATGCCTACTTACGTTATCTCTGGAATGATATGTGAGAAACTTAATGTTGTTTGCCTCTGGAGAAGGGAAATGGGGTGAGGTTCAAGACTCAGGGACAGGTACTTATCTGCAGACCCTTTCTGCTTTGTTTGAATTTTTTTTTTTTTACTGTATTGTATTGTCAATTCAGTAAGAAATTTGAAAATATAAATGATAAAGGTCAGAATCTAAATGCCTCTGGAAACTAGTTAACTGCCAGTTTAACCTAATACGAAGTCTAGTCAGAGGATCAGACTGCTTCTAACTACCTTGTAACATCTTCAAGAACCAAGGACAATGACTAACTCCTGCACAGATTCCCAATGGTGGAAACTGTTCCTTGACAAATCACTCAGAACCAAGTGAAAGGCTCCAGAATAAACAGAAGGCTGACAGACCAGGGCTCCTCCCTGTCAACACTACGTGGACAGTGGCAAAATGATGGGTTAGCACCCTAATGGGAATGAAATGGGAGAGCAGCTGCAATGGAAACATCCAAGGGGCCTTTCTTCTCTGCCCTATACAGCTTCACGAGCAGGCCAAATGCAAATGGGTCCACCCTGAGTAGAAAATCCTATATAATAAAAGAGTAATATGCAAATTGTCCCCTGGACCAGGAGTTCAACCAGAGTTCAACCAGGGGGCCCCTCCCCCTGGACAGCCCCACCCCAATCAGCCCCCCACACACTGATGGGGCTGGACAGGCCCCACCCATGCACGAATTCGTGCACCGGGCCTCTAGTTTCATGATAATGCCATTTAGAGACAGCAGGCTGTCCTGGTCAGAATGGAGACCCTTAGAGTCTAAAGGACCAAAATCCAGACATTACGGCTCCTCCACTTCCTAGATGTGTGAACTTACAGGGTATTTCACCTTCTTAAGGATGTATGCACTCCTTTAGCACGTGCAGTAAATGTCTGAGTGCTTATTGTACACAGGCATTGGGCCGACTTCGTCAGGAGATGTGTTCTTTAACAGGGTGACATGGAATACAAATCTTCAAAGTCCTCACCAGAAAAAAAAACAAACAAAAAAAAAACCCCACCTGTAACTACGCGTAGTGATGGATGTTAACTAGACTTATTGTGGTGCTCCTAACACAATATATACAGAATTATTACGCTGTGCACCTGAAATTAATATAAATGTTACATGTCAATTACATCACCGTTTTTAAAAGTAAAGTGATGCGCAGACTATAAAACAGGGCAAAGTATAGGACAGGGTGAAGGAACAACTCTGAGGAGCTGAGAATTCTTAGTAAGGGATTTCTGTGCTGAAACCTATGTGAGGAGGCGGGTCTAAGGGAAAAACTCTGAGCAGAAAGACAAATGCAAAAGCCCTGAGCTGAGGACCGGCCGGGCGTGCTCAGCGTCGGAAAGAACAGACAGGGAGGGACCTGGCTGGAGCGCAGTGAGCAGGGGCCGTGAGATTACACTGGGGAGGGAGGTGTCTGGCCTCGCTGGCCCTGGGAAGGACCTTAAAATGAAGACATTTAAGCCCTCAAGGCTGCAAAGAGAGCCCTGCGCCTCTGCCGTCGTTAAGACTCAGTACCAGGCAGCTCTGACCGCAGGAAAGGGGCCCCTCCCCTCCTCCCGGGGTGTCTCCATTCTCAGGGGTTCGCTGGGGCGAGGAAGCGGACCCTGCTCACACCCTCCGGGGGGAAGGCCGTCTCAAACGCGGGCCGACGGTATGAAAGCAGGAGGCGCGGGGCCTCTGCGCTTCGCCGAAGGAGAAAACGTTCTTCGGGAAGGCGCTGGGAAGAGAGGAAGCAGCCCGGCGACGTGACAGTCGCCGTGCCCGGCAGCAGGTACCTCAGGAAACCCCTACGCCCTCAACTTTCCGGGGCACCCTCGCCAGGGTCGCCCTCAGAGCCTCCGCCTGGCATTTCTTGAAGCCGCCGCCGCCACTCGACACGTTCCCCGCAAGGAGTTCGGGCCCTCCTCCCCGCAGTCCCGAGGCCCCCTCAGCCCCCGCTCCCCAACAGGCGCCGCTTTCTCCTCAGCCCCCGGCCGCTCCCCGCCTCCACTCACGGGTTGTTATTACTCATTGTAAGTAACAAGCTGCTGAGGAGCCGCACGTTGGAGTGCAGCCCCGCGGCCGCCATGTCTCGCACGTGGTCTATCACATTCATCCTGCCCGGCAAGGCCGCGGGGAGCGGTGGCAGCGGCACGAAAAGCCGGTAGGAGATCCTTAGGGAAGACCCCAAAATGGCGGCCGCGGCTGGGTCCATCGGGTCCACCAGTGGCACCGCCCCCAGGAAAATAGGCGACTACTGAAGTTGCCTGAATAAATACCTCGGTTTCTTCCCCGCCCCCTTACAGGTGGAATGATTTGGTTTTCGGTTTGCTTTGTTCTAGCAAAAGCCGCGTCATTATGCTAAGTTGCACACTTTATTGGGGACTTACAGTGCGCTGAGAACAAAAGGCACCTGAGTGTAAATACATGTTCAATTGAAATGAATACGGGAGGAATTTGTGTGTCTCAGAAATTCATAATAATGTCTAAACATTTATGATAAATAAAAATTAATATCGTAGGTTGTGTGTGATCCTTAACAGCTGTATTTAAATATTTTAATCAGGCGCCAGGGACAGTCCTAACTGCTTTGAGTAACGCAGGCGCACCGGGCTGAGGGCACCACGCCCCCTCCTCTGAGCTATTGAGTGGACCTGCTGGGGCCGGGCTTCACTTGGTGTAGAAGGGCTTGCTTTTGCCCAATGAAATGAGTCACTAGCTCAGAGTGAATCAAGGCGAGGCTGAGCTTTACCCATCCTAATATGTGTTGTTTTAATTTGCAATTCCCTAGTACACCTGTGTAGCTGCCTTCTTTGGTGAGGTTTCTGTTGAAAGCCTTTTCTGATCTTTCAATCGGGTTATGGTCTTACCTATTGAGTTTTAAGGGTTCTTTGTATATTTTGGGTAACAGTGTTTGTCTGTTTTATCAGCTCCGTGTTTTGCAAATATTTTCTACCAATCTGACTTGTCATTCTCTTGGCCACCCCTCACTTTTACAAAACAAACAAACAAAGAAAAAAACCTACTTTCAGTAATAATCCTGAAATGACTAATAATGGCCTGGGAAAAATCAGACAGTGAAATATTATTTTATTAAACTTCATCTAAATAATGATGCCAGTACAATTTTAATGAAAAATAAAACTGATATTACAATAAAAAAAGATAATGCATTAATATTTTTAATTATATTAATGTATTTAAGAAAGACTTTTATCCTACATATTGGATTAGCAAGAAAATAATATAGTTTCTGGCTTTGGTCCTTAAATTTTGCAAGTTTGCCAATAACTGTCAAAACTGATTGTCTTTGCATATTAATGTTCAATTAGCACTATAGACAGATTTGTCATAAAGAGATGGAAGGAACTTCAATGCACTGAAAGAAGCCAAAGTAAAAGGCTACATACTGTAAGATTCTAACTACATGACATCCTGGAAAAGATGAAACAGTAAAAAGGTCAGTGGTTGCCAGGGGTTAGGGAGGAGGGAGGAATAGATGGAACACAGGTGATTTTTATGGCAGTGAAATTATCTGATACTATAATGGTGGACACATGTTATATGTTTGCCAAAACTCATAGAATGTACAACATAAATTGTGGACTTTGGCAGGTTTATAGAGAAAAAATAAAGAGACCAAGGAGAATCTACCTTCTCCGGAATTTTTTTTACAATCATCTTTAAAATCAATTGCCCCCAAGTAGAATGGATTCCAAGATTAAATTCCCTTAATGATTAGTAATCTAATGTAAGTCAGATCATACTGACTTGAATGTTATTCAAAGGACATATAGCGATACATGTATAGCAACTCAGGACACACAGATAGAGCCAGGGGACAAGGCTTCCTTTTTCTCATGGAATCATCTTCTGAAATGATAACTTTGGAACTGGAGCGGACGTTAGAAATTATCTCACATTCATTCTTCCTTTCTTGGGCGAAGAAATGAGGCCTGTAATTGACAAGTAGACAGCTGGCTGTGAACCTTTAGGTTAGCCACTTTAACAGATGCAAAATGACATGGATACCGGATACCTTGGGGTGTTGAATCAGATACATTAAAGCAGCGGTTCTCAACCTGTGGGTCGCGACCCCTTTGGCGGTCGAACGACCCTTTCACAGGGGTCACCTAAGACCATCCTGCATATCAGATATTTACATTACGATTCCTAACAGTAGCAACATTACAGTTATGAAGTAGCAACAAAAATAATTTTATGGTTGGGTCACAACATGAGGAACTGTATTTAAAGGGCCAGAAGGTTGAGAACCACTGCAAAGGAACAATTTATTAATGTAAATGTTCTGCTCCACTTAAGTTCATTTCTGAACGCCCAGCAGCCTCCTAAGAATGAAAATCTTTCCCAGCTGCATTAGACGTTTTTCTTAGATCTGTCTTTTGTACCAGGGGGAAAAACACAACACTTGTAAATTACTCTAAGGGAAACATTACTTAACATCTCTTAAGTGTCTCCTGGCAGTGATAGCCTTCCTTTCAGTGGAAAGGAACTTCAGGACAAAGAATTTGCCAGAACAACTGGAGAAAATACATACGGCCATCTTTCCAAATGATTTTCCCTCTCTGCAGTAAAATGTATTCTGGAGTTCTAAGTCCTGACATTTTGTTTATGAGATGGTCAGACAACTAAGGCGATGGCAACTGACTCATTCGACCACAAATGCAAAACCAAGAGGGCTCGCCCCAGTCAGAGGTCAACTGCCATAAAATAAAGTTTTCTGGAGACTTTAATACTAGTAACAACACGAAGAAATTCCTTTCTCTGAGTCCCAGGTTTTACTGATCAACCTCTTATTCTGATTAACCTCTTAGATTGATTCTTCGCTGATTCTTACTCCCAGGGATAGCTCCCTCCCATTTATCTACCCTCCAAATCATCTGATGCATTGTAATTAATGCAAACTTATAAAAATACTGATTTTATCCTCTTGCCACTCCACTTGAAAATCTAAATGTTGCCCAGCCAGCATGGCTCAGTGGTTGAGCGTCGACCTATGAACCAGGAGGTCACGGTTCAATTCCCAGTCAGGGCGCATACTAGGGGTGCGGGCTTGATCCCAGTGTGGAGTGTGCAGGAGGCAGCTGATCAATGATTTCCTCATCATTGATGTTTCTATCTCCCTCTCTCTTCCTTTGTGAAATCAATAAAAATATTTTTTAAAGAAAATTTAAGTCAGTGAACATTTACTAGGTATTTACATTTACTGTCTTGGCTTTCAAAATCTTCATTCATTCAATATATACTTGAGTGCCTACTGTATGCAGGCACAGGGGCTACAATGATGCATTGCCCAATTTCAATGGCAATATAAGACAGCCAGATAGTGATTCAGGAAGAAGTCTTACAGGGTCTTGAGATACAATGGCAAATGATTTCTTTAAAACACCGCGAGAAGCAAGAACTGGAACAGATACTTGTACACCAAAGTTCATTACAATATTATTCACTATGGCCAAAAGGCCAAAACAACCCATGAACAGATGAAGGGATAAACAAAATGTGGTATGTCCTACAATGGAATATTATTCAGCCATCAAAAGGAATGAAGTTCTGATACATGTTACAACATGAATGAACACTTAAAACATTAAGCTAAGTGAAAGAAGCCAGTCACAAGAGGACAAATAATTGTATGATTCTCCTTATATGAAGTATCTAGAAATCCAGAGACAGAAAGTAGATTAGAGGTTCCCAGGGGCTGGGGGAGGAGGAATGGGGAGATACTCTTTTATGGTACAGTTTCTGTTTGGGGTGATGAAAAATTTTTAGAATTAGATAATGGTGATGGTTGCACACTATAATTCTAATTAATGCCACTAGATTGTACACTTAAGATAGTTAAAATGAAATTTGTTATAAAAATAATGTAGTAGGCTAAAAAAATCAAATTGTACACTTTAAATGTGTATGGTATGTGAATTGTATCTCAGGAAAACTTTTTTTAAAAGCACTTAAGAGTCAAGTACAGAAACTGTGCAATGAGCAGGAAAAGTGATGTTTGCTCAGGCAAACAGTTCTCATAATGGTGGGTAAAAGCAGAGTTGTATCTGAGTGTGGACAATCTATCAAGTCCTTTGGATTGCCAATAAAATAGTTTTAAGTTCTTAGCCTGACCCTTACTCTCAAAAATTATGGGGCATTAAGTACCTCCTGCGAGGGCAGCTTCTTCCCCACCAGATTCTTTGTCCTAAGGTCTTCTTCATGCCAGGCTTGATCATAGCCCAATTTACCCCTTGCCCATGTAGCCTGCCTAATTTGGCTCACTTGTTCAGATGAGCTCAGTTGGAGTGTCATCTTCCCTAAATCTTCCCCAACTGACTTCAGCAATCACAGCCTGCCCTTTCTCTGGGCTTCTCCAGGCCTGGGCAGTCATGTCCATCTTTCCGTGTTTATTGGTTTCTGTCTTGATGTATATACTTCTCATCAGATGGGAAGTTCCTGACAGCAGAGTTCACCTGTACATTTCTTGAACATCCTTTCAACAGCTGGCACAGCACAAGGAACAATACAATCTCCTGATCTTGTTGCCTGAATGTGTTACTAAAAATATCCATGTAGCAAAGTGACCATCTTATAATGGCTGAGAGGGCCAGCGCCTGGATTCAGAAAGACTTGGCTTTAGTTGCCATTTCTGCCAACTTCCAGGTGTGTGATATTAATTATATTATAGCAAGTGATATCACACACCAGCTTCCTTCACCTAGAAAAGGGGAAAAGTACTTAGATCTGCCACAAAGGTTCTTACAAGGGTTAAATAGAATTAAGACTGCAAAGTGTTTAGTACAACTGCCAGACCAAACCTATAAATCAGAGCTGCACTGTTAAAGCAAAGTGGAAAATCATGATGGATGTTTTATCTCAAAATCAACACAGAACAGATGCGGCCCTAACATTACACTCTCCTAATGGAATGGTCTTCCAAACTTCTATAAACAAAATGAAGGGGAAACAAACCAAATGGCTTTTCGTGTAATAGTAGTCCTTCCTTTTCTGGACACAGCTCCAAACTTTTTATGAAAGTCTTCAGTACTGGTAATTGCAGAGAAAAGGAAAATGCAGAATAAAACAGTTCTCATCAATCTTGTTTGAGTATTTCCCTGGACTGTAATCTTTCAACACATGACAGTAATAAGTGGCATACTAAAATGATAAATATAAACAGGATGCTTTAAGAAAAAAGAACAAGGTGACTCTGGTCCTCAGCCTGTTTTTGGCTAATAATTTTTTTTCTAAAATTTTATTTTCTATCTTTTGTAAAAAAGATTTTCCCCCTGGTTATGAAGATCACATATATCTTACTGAATTATAGTACATATGACGCAGAACAGTCTTTGTTCCTGCCCTAAGAAAATCACTGTTACCAGTTTGATGCATAAGCTCCCAGTTTTCCCTGGAGTGCATACAATTAATTAAGTAAACAAGGATGGAATCATATTGAAAGTCCTCAACTTTTTTTATAAGGCAT